CTCTAACCCTAACTTCCTCCAGAGGATTCTAAACCAACCACAGAAAGGGAGAAAGGAGAGAAACACTTCGATTAACTTGAAATCAGAGGTTAGTATACAGTACCTGATTTCGGTTTCGAAAGATTTGATGTAGAGATCCCCAGTTGTCACCGCAGTTCACAAACAGAAAATGCACAATGAAGCTTCTCGCAGAAGTTTTGCAGGAAAAGAAATGCAAGTAAACTTCTTTCTGCAGAAAAAATGCCTATTTATATTTTTCTGCAAAATTAGATCTCAATGGCCGAGATTCGTTTAATCTTACGGTCCCTGTTGACACCGTTTGGAATTCAACGGACAACCCCAAACGGTATCGTTTTGAACTTGACGGTTCGTTTTTAAATTTGCCCGTTTAACTATTGCAATTATCTTTTTACGGCTGCATTTATTACACACGTCATTCCAAGGACAACTGTCACACCACGTTGTCAGATTTTCCAGCCGGACCCACTCACGCCCATTTCAACACCTTTGTTTACTTTTCTCAATTTTGTCAAGTGTTTCACTTCGGCTCCGGCCATATTAATGCTGCATCACATTTCACATCGACTTCGGCCACAGTGATCCTGTATCACACATTTTATTTAGGCTCCGGCCATTATGACTCCGGTCATTATATTTTATTATGGCTCTGACCATTTTAACTCCCATTTTTATATTTAAGCCTAGCTCAGCACTTCTGTTTACTTATACAATTACACTTTTAAACTGGTATAGTGTTTTACTTCGGCTCCGGCCACAAAGACACATGTTTTACTTCGATCCTGGTTTTGGTGACCACATGTCACATACTCTACCTCGGCTCCGGCCATTATGACTCCGGTCATCATGTTTTATTACGGCTCCGACCATTATGACTCCGGTCATCGTGTTTTATTATGGCTCCGGCCATTATGACTCCGGTCATCACGTTTTATTACGGTTCCGGCCATTATGACTCCGGTCATCACATTTTATTACGGCTCCGGTCATTATGACTCCGGTCATCATACTTTATTACGGTTCCTGCCATCATGACTCCGGTCATCATATTTTATTATGACTACGACCACCAAGACTCCGGTCATCACCTTTTACTATAGCTACAGCCACGACTAATTCTAGTCATTATTTTTACACAACCACAGCCACGATCGCTCCGGTCATATTCTATTTAAGACACTCCCAGTGTAACCCACTGCTACATATTTTATTATTAGCTACGGCTATGTTTAAGTTACAAACTTTATTTCCTCTTTTTACTTGCACTCCTCTCAACATCCCCAATACCATCATTCACAAGTGAATGACTTCGGGGGGGAATAGTGTAAGGACAGGTCCGAGGTGCCAAGCCTCGGACTGCTACAGTAATTCCTCTATGACCGAAGTGAGGAGTAAATCCAAAGCTTCCCGCTCAAATA